GACATAGTAGAAATAGATTCTATGAAAGAAGTGAGATCTTGAGCCATGGAGGATGAACAGAATTTAGATATTAATCTGTCCTTTCAGACCACAAACAGGCTCCTATGCCATGGCAGGACTGGTGCTGGGGATGTGAAATGGGGTGGGGTGAGGAATCAAGATAAACAAATGAGAGACTAGAGAAGGCTATTTGGGACCAGTTCTAGTGCTTTCTGTGGAAGTAAGAAATCGAGGCTCAGAGCTGTCACATGAAGAACATTGAGTCCTCTTGAGAGATCATGCAGTGGGAAGAACTGACCCTTCTTTTTCCCCCAAATAATTATTTGATTTTATTTCATTTTTTTTTAAGATCAGTCAAGGGCAGTAGTGAGGGAAGGGAGCAGAACAAGGAGTTCCATCTGTAACTGACTGTGAACAATTGAGATAACTCAATATCTTTGGACCAGCCCCCTCCCCCGCCAATGTTTTTTTCTTTGAGACGGAGTTTCGCTCTTGTTGCCCAGGGTGGAGTGCAATGGTGCGATCTCGGCTCACTGTAGCTTCTGCCTCCCAGGTTCAAGCGATTCTCCTGCCTCAGCCTTCCGAGTAGCTGGGATTACAGGCACCTGTCACCACGCTCAGCTAATTTTTGTATTTTTAGTAGAGATGGGGTTTCACCATGTTGGTCAGGCTGGTCTCGAACTCTTGACCTCAAGTGATCCACCCACCTCAGCCTCCCAAAGTGCTGGGATTGTAGGCGTGAGCCACCATGTCCAGTCCCAAATAATATTTTTTTTGATAAGATGAATGAAGGATGGTGCCCCATTGCCAACCATCAATTAGTATCTGTTTTCAATTCACTCTCTGCAAAACTCCAGTCTTCTCAGAAAGAAAATCAGTTTTTAGTGTCAGAAGGACACAGCTTTTCCTGGAGCTCTTCCAGCTTTGAGTTAATTAATCTCACGTCTAAAGCTGTGAAGTCTTATTTAACAAATCACACAAGCCTAGAGGGGTCTGGAAATAAAACATTTGGACTTGAAATGATAATACTCTCTTAAAAGATGTCTATGTGAGCAACAGGCATAACTCAAATCTACTATACTGAAGATTTACACATAGTGCAAATTTATGACCTATAGGTCATATGGAAAGTTAGGACCTATGCCAACCATTTTAATTCTTTCAGGATGTGGGCTCAGTGTTGACGTTAAAAGGATCATATAGAACACCCAGTTTTAGTCCTGATCTCTTGTGGTGAAGAAACTGGAACTCAGAGGTCACCCTGGATCTTACAGTTAGCGGTAGAGCTCAAATTGGGGTCTTGGCTCCAAAAACAGTGTTGCAAACACATGAAGGTTTGACGTAGGTAAAATGCTGGCACATACAAAGGACATATCTGGAAGAAGACACAGAATGGGGGTAGCTGTGGTTGTTTCTGAGAAGGAAAAATGAGTAGCCAAGAAACAGGAACAGGACAGAGATTTAATTTTCACTGAATACTTTTTTGTACCTTTTGAATTTTGTACCATGCATATATGTTACCTAATTGAAAATTTAAAAAAATTTTTAAGAATTAAATGGGGTTCTAACTATCCATTGCTTTGTTTCCCCGCATCATATTTGTATAAAGCATGTTTTTCTGACTCATGCTATCTCAGTATGTAAATTATTCCACAGGAGCTAGGTTAAACACTTTGGAAGTGGCGATGCCAGTTGGTTACTACTTTGTGGCTAGAACAAGAAGCCAATGCTATTAGAGAGTTCCAACTTCCTGCCAACTTTGTGACAGAATCTGGCAGGATAAAATCCAGAGAAACACAAATCAATTCAGAGCCAGTGATTTCATTCACTTCGGAGCAAGATATAGTCATTAACAAACCTTGACGGAAAGGTCTCCTTTTGCCAAAACCTCATCCTTTCCAAGACAACGGAAGAGGGAAAGGTGGGGATCCAATGTAATTCACTAGTAAACACCTTCAGAGGGCAGAGCCTCATGCTAGGAGGTAAACCTGGCTGCCCCCGACCCCAGGGAACTGCCCAGTAGAGATGAACATGTCTGTGTCCAGACAGCAGTGTAACAATGGAAGGGCTGGTCATCTGCTGGAGCTTTTTCAAATATCATATTACAAGAGAGGATGGTCTGTGATGTATTCTGGGGAGATTTAATGCATGAATCTCATGGGAACAAGTCGGGGAACTTGGCTCAAACTTCCCAAGCTAGTTTTTCTCTGTTTCAATTTTAAATTCTAGTTGATGTGGAAAATTAGAGTGTGGTATGTGTTAGATTAAAAAAAATTATAATCCTGGTACTCACTGTGCAGTGGGGGAAATACTCATTCCTTCACTGGGCATTGAGGCCCTACTATGTAGTTGGTATTGTGGAGGCTACAGAGGAGAGATTTACGCCTTTACTTTCCTCTTAGGTATCTACATATAGCTATCTATTAATTTTGTGTACAAAAGTATTGTTTTAGTGACTGTTAACCTGCTAAAGTCTCTGTACTTGCTAAAGTTATCTGTACTTGCCATTTAGTCCACAGTACATCTTCCAAATGATGCAATTTAATAATTATTCATTAACTGAATAGTTAATTCTTTTTTTTTTTTATAAAGACGGGGCTTCACCATGTTGGTCAGGCTGGTCTTGAACTCCCGACCTCAGGTGATCCGCCCGCCTTGGCCTCCAAAGTGCTTGGATTACAGGCGTGAGCCGCCACGCCCAGCCATGAATAGTTAATTCTTAAACACTTAATAATTAAACTATTCATTAAGTGCCTAGTATATGCCAGGCACTATGATAAGTGCTTTATATGAATTATTTCACTTAGTTCTCACATCATTCCCAAAAGGTACTTACAGAGGAGGAAATTGAGCTTTACAGAGGTTAATTTGTGCTGCTTTACACGTGGTGAACAAGGATTCAAATCCAGGCTATTCATTCAACCAGTGTATAATGACTGCCTATGTACCAGGCATGAAAGGTAGAGGATAAACACTGCCAGTCCCTGCTTTCCTGATCCTGATTAGGATCTGTGGCTTTTTGATTCCAAAGTCCATGGTTTTGGCAATGACACTAGACTACTTCTCTAAATCTGTGTAAAAGGGAGTACATTTTCAAAGGCGATTCCTCCTAATAGAACACTGGCACCCTGGGCAGGTGTCTTTATTCCCCAATCTTCCTTTCCCTGTACTTAAAAAATCAAATTTCGGTTGTGTGTTCAGATCATTCCGTGCCTTTAAGATGTATAAAAAGCATCTGGAAGAATAGGCTGTGACAAAAGACAAGGGCGTCAGCCCTAGCTAGCTCATTTACTAGCTGCCTGACCTCGGGCAAGTAACTCCTCTCAGCCTTAATTTTCCTGTCTGAAAAATGGATATATTACTACTGTATGTGCTTGCAGGGAAAACTGAGATGATAAGCCCACCATATAGTTCTCGTTAAAAGGACGCTGTGTCACGGAGTCTTGTTTGTCTAGGTGTTTCTGTAACAGTGACATTGCTTGTACAGTCGTATTTGTGCACTTTAAAAGTGTATGCAGTCTGCGTCTCGGAATACGTGCTAAATATTGAGTTGGTGAATGAATGAACGAACGACAAAAGGCAAGATTTGTCTCTAATTAAGACGTTCAGATGGGGAGCCGTCCATTACCCAGGACATCGATACAATCCCCCCGCTAATCAAGTTAGCCACTTCAAGTTTCAGTGAACTTAAACTACAAAATGGGCAAATGAACACCCCAGGCCTCACAGCGCATTTTGAGATTTGATAAAACGCTGGATTTGAAGCCTTTGTAAAAGGAACATCCTCTCCCAACCTGGGCCTGCTGCCGGATATCGGAGACAGCCCACGCCCACACTGCGGAGGCCGGCGCCGAGCCCCCGCTCCGCCCTCTCTTCCTGGTTTTTCCTGGTGACCCGCCCCTCCGGCGACACGTGACAGGGGTGCCCGGCTGGACTCAGCCCCTGATTGGCCGGGCTGCGGAACGCCTCGTGATTGGCCCAAAGCCGGCGGGCCCCCGCCTCCCTCCTCCTCCTCGCCGCGGCCCACGTGAGGGGGGCGAGTCACGCGATTTCCGGGAACCCGTCAGGAAGGACATAAACAAAACAAACCCGAGGCAGCATGGAGAGGGGCCGTGGCCCCTGCAGCGGAACCGGACCGAGTCCCTGAGCCGCCCCCACACCCACAGGTGAGCGCCGTCTCCCGCTGCCTGGAGTCCCCAGGGGCCTGGGCTTAGAGGACGAGCGGAGTGGGGGGCGGAGGGCCGCTTGTCTAGGAGGCAGCAGCGCCGAGGCTCTGGGCCGGGCCGGCGCGGGGCGGGGGCTGGGACCACGGCCGAGTGCGAGGGCGCGCGGGTCGCGGGCCACCGCCTGCAGGTCTCGGGGGCTCCACTCCCCTCCCCCACTCCCGGCCCGGGACGGTTACATAAAAGCGCGGGGCGGCGGTATATGGGACTCGCGGGGAGGCAGCAGGCTAGGCCGAGGGCGGGCAGCGCCGGGCGTCCGTCTTGCCGGGCCGCCCGGCCCTTCCCCGCTGCCTCGGAGCCCCGGGCCGCTGCTGCCGGCAGTCGGCCTGTCAGAGAAGAGAGCGGGTGGGAGGGGCCCGGGAAGGGAGGGGAGGCGAGGCTGGCGGGGGAGGAGGGGAAAGAGGGGCGTGTGAGGAAGGGCCGGGGCCGCGGAGGTTGGAGCCAGGCTGGCAGGAGACTAGGAGGCGCGGGCTGGAGCTAGGGGGGTTAAAGCAGGGGTGTCTCGGGGGGTAGCCGCTCCCCCTTCTGTCCCCGCCTCAGAGGCGACGGGCGAGAGGGGCCTCCCTCCCGGGATTTGTTTATATGTCTTCTCAAAGCAGCTTGAAGCGGCTCAGGGGCGGAGCCCTCAGAGCTGAGTGGCAGGCTCTGCTATCCAATGAAGCGGGCGGACGGACGCCACTGCACCAATGGGCTCGGGGGAGGCGGTGCTGCGGGCCCCCAACTAGTTAGGCTGTGCCGGAGGTGGGCCGGGCGGGGCGGCCATGTTAGATGGGAGGGGACCAGTGGTGGTGGGTCACTGAGAAGGGAGGAGACAGGGCAAAGGGCGAGGGAGCCGGGCCGGGGGTGTTTCGGGTGTCCGAAGGCGAGTCCGATCGGACCAGGAAGTAGCTCAGGGGAGCCTGACCCAGACTCGCCTTTCTCCTCACACGAGCTGAGGAGGCAGGGAAGTACCGAGGGTAGTCAAGCCTCCCCTGGGGGTGGTTCCTGGGACTAGATGGAGCTCAGTCTCTGGATTCTCCCCCTTTCTCGGCCTTACGCTTCCTGACAAACCTGGCCGCCAAACCCTGTAATCGCTCTCCTTTAACCCAAGAAAGCAAATCTTTCTGCTATTTCTGAGCTGGCTTGAGCCTTAAGACTACCTTAAGGAGGTACTTGGTTAATTAGCGGTCTGAATTTCTGTACTGGGCCTGAGATAAGAGACAGGCAGTGAAGGGGAAGTTTTGCTTTTCTGAATTTTGTAAAAGAAAACGGGACTAGAAAAGCCGAGAAACTTGAGGGCTGGGCGGGGTTTCTTTTCTTTTTTTTTTTTTCCAGTCAGGATGCCTTTTAAAGATTAGGCCCGGTGCTTGTCCTAGTCTTAATAGTAATTTGCCCGTCTTGTTCACATGAGTTAGTAGCCCACATTAATAAGCTTCTTGAGAAAACTGAGCCCAGAGAAAGTTATTTAGGTTCGAAGGTTCTTTAGGACTTTCTCTAGCGAATACCTTGCAGGTGAAAAACAGGATCAAGGCTTGGCATTTCTTTTTTTAAAAAAGCAGAAAACGAGACTTCTATATAAATCTGGTGATCTGTCGTAAACTGGTTGTCACTTGATTGAACTTTCAATTATCTTTAATCTTTTAATCCAAAATAGCTAGGATATACACCAGAGGCAGGCGGAAATGGTATGAATGATTCGAAAATCACTTATTCTGTTCTAATTGTATCATGATTTTTTTCCTTTTGGCCTTGTTAAATGCTTAGATTTGTGTTAGCACTGGATTACAACCTGTGGCTCTATTGGTATTGTCAAGGTTACCAAGCTATTGATGCATCTTTGGTTAAGCATTTAGGCGTAGGAACATGCCTTAGATAGATCATGCAGGGGCCAATGAAGAGTTAGCTGTATTTTTTTTTTTTTTTTTTTTGAGACGGAGTTTCGCTCTTGTTACCCAGGCTGGAGTGCAATGGCGCGATCTCGGCTCACCGCAACCTCCGCCTCCTGGGTTCAGGCAATTCTTCTGCCTCAGCCTCCTGAGTAGGTGGGATTACAGGCACGCACCACCATGCCCAGCTAATTTTTTGTATTTTTAGTAGAGACGGGGTTTCACCATGTTGACCAGGATGGTCTCGATCTCTTGACCTCGTGATCCACCCGCCTCAGCCTCCCAAAGTGCTGGGATTACAGGCTTGAGCCACCACGCCCGGCGAGTTAGCTGTATTAAGAATTTGAATTATCTTCTATTTTATTAGCTGGAGAAAAAGAGTAATTGGCAAATGATACATCGATTTTTTTTTTTTTTTTTTTTTTTGAGATGGAGTCTCCCTCTTTCACCCAGGCTGGAATTCAGTGGTAAGATCTCGGCTCACTGCAGCTTCCACCTCCCAGGTTCAAGCGATTCTCTGCCTCAGCCTCCCAAGTAGCCGAGATTACAGGCATGTGCCACCACACCTGGCTAATTTTTGTATTTTAGTAGAGACGGGGTTTCACTGTGTTGGCCAGGCTAGTCTCAAACATCTGGCCTCTGGCGATTAACCTACTTTGGCCTCCCAAAGTGCTGGGATTACAGGAGTGAGCCACTTCACCCGGCCTGATTGATCAATTTTTGTAGTACTTTGGCATGACTTACTCAGTTCCGTTAATAATGATACATAAAAACATAATCCCTGATTATTTGATAAACTTGAGTTCTTAAGTATAAATTTTGCAGTAAAAAATAGTATTAGTTTATCAGTTTTTATTTTTCTTCCTTTTTTTTTTTTTTTTTTTTTTTTGAGGCGGAGTTTCGCTCTTCTTACCCAGGCTGGAGTGCAATGGCACGATCTCGGCTCACCGAAACCTCCGCCTCCTGGGTTCAGGCAATTCTCCTGCCTCAGCCTCCTGAGTAGCTGGGATTACAGGCACGCGCCACCATGCCCAGCTAATTTTTTGTATTTTTAGTAGAGACGGGGTTTCACTATGTGTGTTGACCAGGATGGTCTCGATCTCTTGACCTCGTGATCCACCCACCTCGGCCTCCCACAGTGCTGGGATTACAGGCGTGAGCCACCGCGCCCGGCCTTCCTTTCTTTCTTTTTTTTCTTTCTTTTTTTTTTTTTTTTGAGAGAATTTTGCTCTTGTTACCCAGGCTGGAGTACAGTGTCACGATCTCGGCTCACTGCAATCTCTGCGTCCTGGGTTCAAGCAATTCTCCTGGTTGACCCTCCCAAGTAGCTGGGATTACAGGCGTCTACCACCATGCCTGGCTAATTTTTGTATATTTAGTACAGATGGGGTTTCACCATATTGGCCATGCTGGTCTTGAACACCTGACTTCAGATTATCTGCCTGCCTTGGTCTCCCAAAGTGCTGGGATTACAGGCATGAGCCACCGCACCCAGCCTATCAGTTCTTATTTTATCGGGTGGCACTGCGTTGCTTTTGAAACCGTAGCCCTTCACAGTGCCATAATTAGTTTAACAGAGAAGTGTAGTGAAAATTAAAAACTTTTGGCCGGGCGCGGTGGCTCAAGCCTGTAATCCCAGCACTGTGGGAGGCCGAGGCGGGTGGATCACGAGGTCAAGAGATCGAGACCATCCTGGTCAACATGGTGAAACCCCGTCTCTACTAAAAATACAAAAAATGAGCTGGGCATGGTGGTGCGTGCCTGTAATCCCAGCGACTCAGGAGGCTGGGGCAGGAGAATTGCCTGAACCTGGGAGGCGGAGGTTGCGGTGAGCCGAGATCGCGCCATTGCACTCCAGCCTGGGTAACAAGAGCGAAACTCCGTCTCAAAAAAAAAAAAAAAAAAAAAAAAAAAAAAAAAAAAGAAAATTAAAAACTTTTCATTGATACCTAGAATATTCCAGGCACTTTTCAGTGTTGCATCGGTTGATAAAGTCAATCAATTAGCATTACTTATGTAATGTTCTCTTATTCTAAGAATGGCAAATAGATTAAATAGAACTTATTTGGGTATAATTCTTTCATATGACTGGTAGATCAGCTTTGAGATTTTAGATTCATAAACATGTAGGCGGCTAAATACCTCCAGAAGAGAGTCTGGATGCTCCATTTACCATCTCTTTCTCTGTCATGTCAGGTGAAAGCAAGCTTTTTTATAAAGACAATGTTCTACTTACTTTACTGGGTGGATGGGTGGGTTCTCAAACATCAGTGTAAGAAGTAAAGGAAGAACTAACATGATTCCTGGTGGTGGTTACTGAATACAAGTGACAATGAAGTACCGTGAGTTTGTGTGTTGGTTCTATTAATGTAGCTCAGTTTCCTTCCTTCACTGCCTGCCTCCCTCCCTCCCTTCCTCCCTTCCTTCCTTCCTCCCTTCCCTCCCTCCCTCCTTCCTTCTTTCCTTCCTTCCTTTTTCTTTCTTTCTTTCTTTTTTTTTTTTTGCCCAGGCTGTAGTGCAATGGCGTAATTTCGGCTCACTGAAACCTCCGCCTCCTTGGTTCAGGAGATTCTCCTGCCTCAGCCGCTTCCCTAGTCGCTGGGATTACAGGTGTGCACCACCATGCCTGGCTAATTTTGTATTCTTAGTAGAGATGGGGTTTCTCCATGTTGGTCAGGCTGGTCTCAAACTCCCGACCTCAGGTGACCTGCCCGCCTTGGTCTCCCAAAGTGCTGGGATTATAGGCACAACCCACTGCATCTGGCCTTGTGGTTCAGTTTTTAAAAGATGAAGAGAACTAAATTCACTTACTTTTAAAGCTTAATTTTTGGTCAAGATGATTGGCATTTATATATTTAAAAAATATGTATATATATGTATATATTTGAGACGGAGTCTCTGTTGCCCAGGCTGGAGTGCAGTGGTGTGATCCTGTCCCACTGCAACCTCCGTTTCCTGGGTTCAAGTGATTCTCCTGCCTCAGCCTCACAAGTAGCTGAGATTACAAGCATGTACCACTATGCCCAGCTAATTTTTGTATTTTCCGTAGAGACAGGGTTTCACTAATTTGGCCAGGCTGGTGTTGAACTCCTGATCTTAAATGATCTGCCTAGGTTGGCTTCCCAAAGTGCTAGGATTACAGGTGTGAGCCACCGTGCCCCGCCAATTACGTGATTTTGAAATGAATTAGCAGTGGCTTGTTTCCATGTAGGTTTGAACTTGGACTTTTTTCGAGGAACAATTCACTGACACTTTTACCATATTCAGTAGCCAATTTTGGGATAGATAAACTCTCAGACTAGACATAAATTTGTCAGATAATTAGTTCTGATTATTTTAAAACAGGGGTCAGCAGACTTTTATTTCTGTATAGGATCAAATAGTTAATATTGAGACTTTTTCAGCCATATGGTCTTTGCCACAACTACTCAACTTTGCAATCTGTAGCCTGAAAACAGCTGTAGAAAATAAATGTTTCTACATATTTTTGGGCTGTATTTCAATAAAACTTTATTTACAAGAACAGGCTGTGCCTCTGTTTGTGCTTCCACGGCTATAGTTTGTCAACCCCTGTTGTAAGACATCAGTCACTGAGTTTTAAGTACTTAGATGTTAAGGTATTTCAGAATGCACAAATAGACACTTTAGGTAAATTCGAGCGTTTGCAGATTGTACGTGTCTCCTGCCTTGAAGAATTTTTAGTATAAGAGCATATGGCAACACTGTATTTTGTATTTTTACTTCATTTACATATAAATGTTTTCTTGAAAAGCTGTTTAAAGCAAATATTGGTACAAGTTCTGTTGATTTTGGAGAATCATTCTGATTGAAAAAATTTGGCCATAAGATATGATACCTAAGAATCTTAATATATTAAAGATATGGTCCTCTTGAGGTTTCAAAGCACATTTAGCTTATCCTTAACAAAACTGTATAGCTGTTTCAAGAGATGATAGTCACGTGAATAGTCAACACATGTCGTTCTTATATTCAAATATACAGTTAATTTAGAAGCTATTAATACATTGAGTGCTTATTGCCTGAGATGCTTGAAGAATTACTTAAAGAGAGTAGGATGCTTTTTCCAGACTCGAAAAGATACAGATTACCTTCTCTCTTTTTCCGGGGAAAATGTCAAGTGCCTAGGGAGCAGAGATGCCATAATCTAAAAATATACACTGGCAAATACTTAATTTTTTCATGGCTTTTGCTTTGTTTTTAATGTAGTATTTCACCATTTTCGTTGACTTGGACTAGATTTCAAGTGGAAGCATAAAAGTTTA